GAGATGGCTTATGCTTATTTTAGCAGAGCCCCTTGTAAAGTAATGAATCTCATTTCAGCTTACGTCACTTGCTTGCATTTCAGCTGACTTACTTTATTTTACAATATCTTTGATTTTGGAACAAATGTACTGAATTAGAATTTAAAGAGAAGACCGTGTCCAATTTTACATTCTTAAATTTCTGGATGTACAGTACTTAGGGATTTTAAGAGATAGCTGTTAGTACCTTCTTATCATAGAAACCTTTACTTTTGCTTTTGGGAATTTTCTTAGAACAATTTTCCTTAAAAAGAAGATCTCAGCTGTGAACAGGGTGGAAAAATTCTACCTGTTTATAGAATAAGCTTGAAGCCTGTATGTAAAATATACAAAAGGTCTAGGTCTGTTTGATGATGGAATTCTAGATCAAACCATCATCATTTCAGTATGTCTGCAGTAATTCACAAGTTACTGGAGAGATGTATAGTAAGGCTTTGATATCTGAACCATACTCAGTTTTCTGTACCAATGTTACTTTAATGCATGATTAAATTCTCTTTAAAGCAGAAAGTGTCTTTAAATAATTGACCCCATTGATCCAATGGATTTTTCAGAGGTCTTGTTGTTATTGGAATATAAATTATTTTGATTAGTAAGTTTAATTTTTAGATCTCCATGTACTTTGGTTATTGTTATATGGGAATAGTAGCTGAATAACATTTATTGAGGTCTTTCTATATGCCAGGTAATGTAAAGCTGTAAATGTACTAATTTAATTCTCACTACTGCCACATGAGGTAGGTACTACTATTTCTGTTTTACAGATGAAGAACTGTGGATTTTGTTACTAAGAAAAGATCCAGGCTCACAGAATTCATGCCTACTTTCTTTTTTATTTTGTAACATAAATTTGCTTATTTGCAAATTTAGTCTTTTCAAGAATTTGGAATTCCATGAAAGTAAATGGCTTACTCACAAATCCCTCATTGATTTTTTTTAAGGTGTTTTGATGCTTGACTGAGCACTTCTGTATATTAATAAAATTCTCACTTTTTGCTTTTCATTGGCTTTATAGGAGTGGAAGACCGATTATGACTTTTTAATGTCACAAGAGTTGTTTGCTCTTGTGGCATGTCTTTTTTTAGTCATCTTAAACATGTAACGTGATAGAATATCAATATGCTAGTATTTTCTAACCTCTTGTCACACAAACTATTGCATTTTATTGAACAATTTTAGAATGATTTTAACGTCATTAGGTTTTCTTTTGAAATTTTTTTAAAATAATGATTTTTAAAAGGAAATTTCAGTGTCCTGGATAAATTTTACCTCTTGTCCTGTGGCAAAAGAATATAAAGCATTGAGTTTATCATTTAATGTACCAAACTGAATACATTTCACTTCTAGCCATTGAAATAATTAAAACTTGTTATCAGTACATTAGTGTCATTGTTGATCCATAATCGTGTTTACATCTCCAACTTTATTTAGAGCTTGATCTTGCAATGTAATAACGGAGATTGGGAAGAAATTATAATAAACAATACAAGAGAAATGATGGTACTTTTATTTTTAATACTTCTGTATAGTAATATATGTCCGTTTTAGGGAATGAGTAGTTCAAATGGAAGATACTTCATTGATACGAAGAATGGATGAGTTGTGTAGTTCTTACTTTTGGTGGAGAGAAACCAGTAAAGTATGTTAAGGAGAAGCATCTTGCATTTGATGTTTATTACTGATGTGACACTCAATTTTAGTCGGTTTTTAAATATGAGTAGTAGTTATCAAGTAGTTTACTACTTGTTAGTAGTTATCAAGTAGTTAGTTATCAAGTAGTTTACTTAAGTAGATACTTATTTAGTGTATGTAGACAACAGATCCTAATTATAGTTTAGGAGATAAGATTTAAGTACCTGAAGAGCAAAAATGCCTTATATTTAATAATCTAGTCACCCAGACTTTATATGTACAAATTTAGTTTGAGAGCTGCAAAATTGGTGAAGACCAGAGTTAAAATTTATCTTTGCAATTACGTTTGCTCATGATAGATCAGATCATTTAATAGCAGAATATCCTGGTTTCCCACTTAGTCCCTTTAGGTCAAATTATTTAAGTAATGGATTTGTTTCTCTATGAGGAACATTTGATAACCTCGGCAACAGAAGTATTTTACTTGCACTTAATTTGAAATCTGATAGCAATTTATGGCAAATACCAAATAGGCCACATAGATATTTTACATTTTTATCATTTTTTTTTCTCTAGTCAGCTACATATTTTTCCTGTATTCTCAAATAAGTTGCTGAAGATGGTGGCATCTCTATTGGCCATTTGTGTTACCTAAGCAGAATTAATTAACATCTGTTGAACTGAAAAACTATGTGGTTATCCACTGCTTTGGGTTTTTTTTTTTTTCCCCTTAATCTCAAAATTCTTTTCCATAATTAGTTTTATTTGAAGAAGTTTGGAAAGTTTTCTGCATTGAGATTTAGAATATATAGTGTTGCTATAATTTAGCTTTCCAGGATTTTGAATTTGAATTTTTGTTTTTACTTCTCAATGTTGACAGTGTAACAACATTAAGTATGTAAAATTTGACTATTCATTGCCACTTTTTTATAGTTACATATGTATCTGTGACAGTACAAGAACTTTGTTCCTCGCTTGCAGTCTTGCCATGATTCTCTCCTTGAGAAGTTTACAAAATTAAAACTTTGTGTATGGTAAGAGTATCTTCAAGGTGGGTGGATGTTCTCTGTTTGAAGGAATAAGATTATCGGTATTCCAACAGCATTTTTTTCTTTTAATGTTTTCATCAAGCACCCAGTCAGCTTGAAGAGTCTCTCAAATGGACCCTACCACTGAGAAAACAAGATGGCAGTCCACTATGGGGATTTGAGGAAAATGGATTAATACAAGAGTGCTGTGATAATACACAACCAAGACAGGGTTCTTTTAACATGGATTTCATGAAATGAATGAAGACATAGGTTTCTTACCCAGCACAAATGGACAGTGGATTTGACTTTCTAAAGACTTTTTGTATCCCTAAAACAAGTACATTTTTGACATTTGGAGAAGATGGCACAGTAACACAGATGTTAGTTTGTATGCCTGGAAATTTTTGCAGTTGGATTTGTATGAGTATGATCTTGTGGAATGTTAACTTTAATAAAATTTCTAACACTTTAAAATTTCTCAGTTTGGGCTTTTTTTTTTTTCAAGCCGAAGTTTCATTAAATTTCAATTACTGCCTTAACACTTTGACCTTTACAGTTCCCCAGCAGTAGGTATACTGAATAAAGCTGGTAAAATGGAAATGGTGTGCTGAAAGAGGGTTCACTTGGTTGATTAAGACTTGTCTTTTTTCACAAAGTTGTGGAAATTTGTGTATTAAGAGATGGTTGTTCGGTTGGAATGCTATTTTGAGCTTTCTTGGAACAATTTGGAAAATAACTTACCAAGGGGTAATAATAGGAACTTTAATTTGCCATGAGATTGTAATAAGCTTATAAAACAAAATGCGTTTTGCCTCAATTCAGAATGAGTGATAAAATATTTTTATGAGTTATTTTGTGTTGATGGAAAAGGTCTCTTTTACCTATGCTTTTTTAATATAATGTTTTACAGTAGAATATTCATCTGAACCTTTAAACTGGTGCCTCTTGTTGTTTTAGTGGTTAATATCAGGAAAAGAGGTATTGGGTTTATATGGAAGTGTCCTTAGGGTATTCATAAAAGGACTTAAGATTTTGGTGGCAATAATGTCTATAATACATTTTATGTAAATACGAAGGTAAGGCTTTATCTTCTATTTTTCTTACTCTGTTTAGGAATTTAAATAAATCATGCCGTGTCCTAGATTGTTTGAATTCTAGGTGAATACTGCTGTTCCATTTATTGATAATTGACTAATACCAGTTTTAGTAACAATGATAAAAGTGGGGTAGGCTTCATTTTGATAGACCAAATGACTTATTCATTGTATTTTCCCATTATACAGATAACAAGGAAGAGTTCAGGTTGAATTTTTTTTTTTTCGTGAGAAATACTCATTTTGTGTGACTAATCAAATACCATAGTGTACACATCTCTGATCAATACATATGCAATATTTATTCTCACTAACTGATTTGAGGTGGTTGGTCTGTATAAATCAAAAGTGGACTTTTGGATTTTGATTCTGGTAGAAAATTAAAGTTTTGTAGAAGGTATAGAATTGAAACTAGGTTTTGATTATGGATTTTACTACCAAGGTGCAACATTGTTGGTCTTGTTAGGTATAAACCTAAAATGGGTTTCTTAAATGAGGCGAGGACATTGTTCTGGTATACTAAAATGTAAGTGAGGAAAGTTGATTTTTTTTTAGATGAGTGAATGTTTTCTTCGGGTGCTTGTTTGAGAGAAATGTGTTAAATTGTTTGTTTTTGGCATTAGTAGTTATATTGTTTCCATAGATCTCATGGTTTCGGTATTTAGGAGAATTTGCCCTGTGACATTACTTTGATAACTTTCCATCAGGACCAATTGTTACTAACTTGCCATTGTTGGAATGGGTGTATATGCTTAGAATTTGCTTTGAAATAAAAGGGGATGGTTGGGATATATTATGTGTTGTATTGGTTTGAAGGTGGAGTTTCTTGGGTTTGTTAAAGGGTGTACATAGTAGTTCCATGCTCTTGAATTTAAGAACTTTGTTTTGCGTGACTATGTGAAGTAAATACATTGTGGTTATGAGGATTTTTTGGTGAAGTTTACAAGGTTATATATAATGGGTTAAAGAATTTTATTAAAGTTTAAAGAAAGATTGAGGTTCTTGGGTAAAAGCTAGTTGCATTAATTTTTGCTCTAATGCAACTGAACACTAGGGAGGCGCTGTTGAGTTGTACCCCTTTTTCCAGTTGGGATGGAAAATTCCCCCATAAACTTTGTCATTAGATAAATTTTAGGCTTCATAAAGAAGGCAAGACTTGAATTTAATTTTTGAAATTGAGGTTTTGCTTTTATTTAGAAACCATTTTACCCATGGGGGGGTTAATTTTTAAAAAGATTAATACTTAAGCTTAGCTTTATATTCTCTAGGAATTATCCCTCTTTCAAAATGGCTTGATAAAACACCACTTCCTGTCCAGAGAGGAAGTTATTTTAGCTCAAGGACTGAAATATTTAGCAGATCTTTAGACAAAAGGAACAAATTACATTTCTCTCTGGCTTAAAAAGGGTGCTTGAGCCAGAGGGGGTTAAGAAACCCTCCCTCCTCCCCTTGATGGGGTGGTCTGGAGGGGCAGGGAGGTGTGGGGGTAGGGGTCCTCAGGCTCCCTGGGATGGAGGATCTTTTTTTTTCTTTTCTTTTTTTTTTTTTTTTGGTGGAGATGAAGGGGTGGGTCTATGGTACATCACCTGAGTTGTGGGGTAAATGTAGAGAGTGTCAATCAAAGGCAGAGCTCTCAGAGCTGGGAAGGAGGCTCTAGATGGCGGCTGTGCCTTAGAGAGAGCGCGCTCTGCTCCCTGCCTTCGCCTCACTTTACGCAACTTTCCCTAACTTTCGGGCAGCCTCAGGGGGCCCCCGCAGCCCCCTGCCTCTCCTAGTGACTTGCTGGGGTCGATTCGAACCTTTTTAAGGGAGAAAAGCAGCTTTTAGGAGCTTTCTTTTCGTGCCTTGTTGGAAAGAAGCAGCCGTACTGAGAGCCCAGGTCGTTGTTTTTTCCAGCTTAGAAGCCATGGCGCACCTCCATTTTTGTGCGCTCTCCTAATGAGGTTTTTTTCCTTCCGGACCCGTTTTGGTATTAATTGTTGCTTTATTTTTTTGGCCAGTTAACATATTGGAGGATTATTTTATTTATTTTTCGTTTTTGTAACGGAGAATTTTGTTTTTATTTTTAATTATTTGGGATCTGATATTTTTCTACTACTAGATAGGACTCTTGCTTTGGACCTACTACATGGATCAGGTAAGTCCATGATTGTTAGTGATAATTTTAAAGATTTATATGTATAAGTTTGCTTTATTTTCTGTAAATATGAGAAATTCCTGGATGACGCAATAAGATACAGAGATTGTTATTTGTATCCAGTGTGTTACTTTGAGAAACTTTCCTTATTGATAGTGATGATTCTCCCTGTTCGGTTTATCCGTTTTTGTTTTTGTTTTGTTTTTTTTTAAGGAAAAAATAGAAATATTTTGTTTTTTGGTGCTTACCGCTGTTGTGTTATAAGAATATCGTTACATCGTCAGGACTTTGTTCCTGATAATAAAAACCATCGATAGAAGCTGGGACCTTACCTTTCTTTCAACTTTTGACAGTAAATACCTGGGCACAGGACTTCAAAGCAAACACAGATTCCCCCTCCCCCTTAATATTTAAGAATTAAAAGATGATGAGAAATAAGGACAAAAGCCAAGAGGAGGACAGTTCGCTACACAGCAATGCATCGAGGTATGAGCTATCAACTTTCTTCCTTTTTTCTTTTTTTTGGGGGGAAACCTCAGCTTACATTGTTTACCTTGACAGACAGGGAAAGCTGTCTGTTTTATTTTAAGTATTTTACTAATTTGGATTCGTTTTTTAAAGCGTGACCTTGAGATTGCTAATATGCCACACCCTAATTTTTTGGTAGCAATTTATGAAAGTTGAGTTGTGACTTAAGGCCTCATACAGCAGTCAAAAGGTAAGGTACCTTTATTCAAAGGGGCCTTTCCTGTAAACTACAGTTTTTCTGTTAATAAATTTCAGTTTTCAGGTTTTTGTGCTGTAGAAAAATGACCTTGTCGGTTTAGCCATTGCTGCATTGCACCATTTTACATACAAGGCAAATTTTTTCTTTGAAGAATCTAGGATACCCAAACTTGTAACTGAAGGCCATAGAGGAGCCTTGTGGTAGTAAATTATAGTAAATAGACGTTTGAGAAAGTTATATGAATGAAAAAATGTACATTTTAAAATGAAATCGCAAAAAGGACTCTTTGACTGATGCCTCTCAGTTTATATTTTTACTTGACTCTGTATTTCTTTTGATACTCTTGACATTTTAGGAAATTTTGATAAGATTTATCAAAACCTTTACTCTATGGTTATAGTTCCTGCATTTATGAAATCAAACCTGTGATCACAGAACTACTGGAATACTCTTAATATACTTCTCTTTTGTGTTTGTTACTGTGATTATATTTGTATATTTTGCATTTAAAATATTTAAGGTTTACATTTATATGCTTATATTCAGACAGTGCTTTCTGGTTGGTAGATATGTAGTATCTTATTCTTGCATTTTAGTTGTAGCTGCTTTAAATTTATTGATTTATTTTGACAGAGTCGCCTGGAATGCTTTATCTTCTGAAGCTTACAAATATACTGTTTGTTCAGATCACGATTTGTTTCACATTTGTTGGAGTATCTTAGTGACTAAGTAATAAAGCTTCTTAGACATTTTGTTGTATGATCTGTATATTAATTTTCAAAAGTACATATAAATGATTTCTTGATGTGTGTTCTTACAAATTGTCATATTATGAATTTTAAATCCTGCAGTTAAGGATGTGATTGGTTATATGATTTTTTTCTCCCCCAGTTTTGCTTTTACTTTTATAATTTTATAGAAGTAATATACTTTATTACTAGGTTAGTGAATTTGAAAGTTTTGAAGTGGTTTATTACAAATGTTGAAGTTTATGTTTCATTATACTTAATCTATTTTGACTCTTGCTTCTAAATCCACATTCTTTTGCAAATTGAGTTGTCATACAGTTTGGACTGCTGTCTTTTGAACTGAATTACCCATGTCATTACTTGGGTTTGATTTAGATCAGAAAACTTCTCCACTAATCCTGAGCTGATTTTTCTGAAAAGTAATGGCAATTTGAAGAAATAGGAATCCCCAGGTGTATTTGACAAATTATTAAAGATTCAGTACCTAAAATTGTTACTCCCTTGAGTATGTATGATTTGCATATTCTCACGTAGGTTTTGGCTTTCTTATGCAAGGTTTGTGGTTAACGTCATTGATGAGGCTGCCTTCTAATTTCAAAAATTAAGCAGTGTTGCTGTTTTTTAAAAAAATAATTTACTCCCTAGAAAACTTACTTGGAAGTTGTCATGCATTTACCTATTGGCAGTGGGGTTATGGTTAACAAGGAAGCATGTACTGTACTTTTAAATGCATTTTGTCAAGTAGTTTGGTTCACATACCTGATGGATGTTCAAAAAAATCTGAGAGACTCCTTGAAGATGGGAGTTTAAAATTCCTTACCCGAAATTGCATACCTTAATACATGTACATAATTATGACATCACTTCCTTTAAAAATTGTAAAGCTTAATGGGATGCTAGTGGTGTTTATTGTGGTAGATTAATGTAATTTTTAGGAAGTTAAAGTTCAGGAGACTGTTCAGGTACTAGTACTTGGTTCCAGTCTTTCAGAATTTCTTTGTAAGGACCTATTTCTATGGCACAAAGTCTAATATTTAGGGAATACTACAAAAATCACTTGTAGCCTGAGCCACAAGAGAGGAAGGAGTTTGCAGGTCAAGTAAATTTGTTCTGAGAATTAGTTTAGGATCTGAAAGGATTGAGTGCGAGTTTAGGTAAACCTCATACTTTACTGTTTTTGGAAATAAAGCAATGACTGTAAGTTTGTTATTCCTGTATTCTTTTGTTAATGCTTTTAAATTTGTTGTGTGTTGTATATCGTGATTTCTGAAGATTACAAAGTTCACTTTCCAAAAATACCATTTTAAATACTTGATAACTCTGTAAAGTTTTTAAATATTTAAAAGTTTTAGTGAAGGGCGTATATAGAACTGTATGCTACATACTTCTTACCTAAATAATTGGCAGTTTGGGGTAACTTCAGTAATACTAAAAAATGGAGACAGGAGAGAAGGGATGTGACTGGAACTGTGTGCACACAAAGAGTTCTGTGTGTTCGAGGACGCTGCGTTTGCAATTTTATCTAAAGAACTGAGACAGTTTATTAAATTTATCTCTAAATCGTCTGCCTTTGAACCAGATTTATTTTGACAACCTGCGGTGCGGGCAAAATCTTCTGCTTTTTAATCAGCCTTTTGGCAGTTACTCTAAGATCGTGGGGCTAATTAGAAATGGCATAATGCAGTTGCTTGTGGACTGAACAGGCAGTTTTTAAGTGGCAGCCATTTTATGATGCTGATAATTCTTAAGAATCGGGATTTTTGAAAATACTGAAAATTGAATGGAAACTTGAAATATCAAAACTCCTTCCCCCCCCCGCCCGCCTCCCCTTTTTTGGTTCTCTGATGCTAAAATAAAGGGCAGCTCGGTAGTTAGCGCAGGCAGCAGCTCTGTGAGCCCCTGGCATCTTGGTGCAGGTCCAGCTCAGTCACAAAATGGCTGTTCCTTTGTGCCGCAGCGCTGACAGACATACTGCATTGCACTGTGTACTCGCCAAACAGCAGGAAGTTGCCGTGCCGAGTTCAAAGGCCGGCCGGCGCCGGCGTCAGCGCCTGCTGCTGATTGGCTGTGCGCACGCCTGGTAACAGTGGGTCAACAGCGGCGGCCTCCGGCAGGTCCCGCCCCGCGACGTAAGGCGCGTCGCTTCGCTCCTGGGAGGAGCGGACGTAGTGACGTTGGGTTGCGTGCGCAACCAGGGTGCTTCCTCTTCGTCTAGCGAGCCAGCAGCCTTCGGGGGCGGGGGTAGGAAAGGGAAGGGAGCGAAGCGCTGGCTGGGACTTTCCGGTGGGCGGCCTCTTCCCTGCTGATTTCGCCTCTGGCAGCCGTCTGCGTCCTTCCCTCTAGCCGTCCGCACCCTGCGGCGTGTATTCCTTTGCCCATCCCTGGGAAGGGTGTTCTCTCAGGAGCGGCTTCTACTTCAGGCGACAGTAAAAGGCGCTAATCGGAAACCTTCAAATCGAAAACGTGCCAGCTTTCTACATTTTTTCCCCCTCCCCGCTTTGCTTTCTCATATCCTAGCGGGTCTTTTTTTTTTTTTTTTTTTCTGTTCAGTGTGAAGAGATTAGTAAACTTAATCTTGTTACCATTGACCAAAACCTTTTAACTCAGGAGATACTTTTGTTTAAAGTGAGACGTTCTAAGGGTGTTACAGCTGTTACCTAATCATGGCTCATAAACAAAGGGAGGATTGTTTGAACTTGTCCCCGTGCGTTTTTACTTGGTACCATACATTTTCTCAGTTGGCATTTGATGGAGGAAAACTCAGGTCAGTATGTGCAAAGTGATTTATTTCTAAAATTACGGGGATAAGTACAAAAGAGCGTAGGAGTTTTCACTTAACTATAAATACTGTTAAAAAATAAGAATACAGTATTAGGCACCCATTACTATACAAACAACTGTTAGACTACAACTCCTTTTAAGTGTTAATAGCACCTGGCTAAGGAACTGTGACTCCCCAGAACTTGGTTGATAGTGGAATGAATTACTCGGAAGAACCTTCGGAAACCTCTCAAATCCCCGATTCTGGAAATTTTAATTCAGTCCGGGTAAACTTATTAAAATGCTGTGGTTGTGCTCATGGTCTGTCTTACTGGGAAACCCTTGGCAAGGATTTCTGGTTTAAAACAACAACAACAAAAAATCTAGTTTAGCCATTGATGATTTCATTATTCAGTCACAGATAATGAATTTAAGTAAGAAGACAAGACTGTATTAATGTTTTCCTGCTGTACCCTGCCAAAAAGTACCCCCTACCCCCATGCGATTGGAGTATTTTAGCAGTAACAGCAGTGAGATTTAGGTAGTTGGCCCTTTCAGAAGTTTCTTACTGAATGGAATACGTTAACTTCAAGACGGGTGTGGATTGTGGTAGAGAGGTTTGTCTGGGCATCTCAAGTTTCTGAATAAAGCTATAAAAAAGAAAATTCACTAATGGTTGGTTTTGTATGTTCACTTAGTTTTGATTCTTTAGGAAGAATTCTTTGAAGAGTTTATGGAAACTTTAGGTGAAACTGGATTTTCAGTTTGTTTTATAGACTTGTTCATCAGAGATTTGACAAGAGATTTTTAAATTATATGCTCGGGTATAAATTATGTACAAAAGAATTATCTGTAGAGGTAAATATTTGTAGAACTTGACCATTAACTGAGTTTCAAATTAAAGTGCATTTAAAGCAACAAGAAAAAGTTTCTTTCTGTGTATTGAGATTGAATTCTGGTTAGTTGTATTACATTTTTATTATTTGCTGGATGCCTTTAAATTCCTAAAATCTAGGGTAAGAATTAGGTAACATTGTATTCATGTTTCAAGGTATAGATTACTCTGTTGAAGGCGTTTTAGCCCAAAATAGATACCATTACTGTGTGAGTTAAAGTACATATTATGATAACAGTAATTTATGAACTGTTTTCGTGTCCCTTGGAGCCAGTGAACTTCTTAAAGAACCAGAGTAATTAGGCCTGTTCATTAAAACTTCAGTGCATTTTCCATCTGAGTGTAAATTGGCATG